TTGTGGAGGTGAAATTAAGGTTGTAGGGGGTTCGGAGAAGGTTTAGAGTTATCTATAAATTTTTTTAGATTTTTTTAGGTTTTTTGAGTTTTTGAAAAACTTTGAATTTTTTGGTGGAATTTTTCGACGAAGGTTGAAGTTTTCGATGAGATTTCGATAAGATTTTCAGAATCTAACAGGTTTTCCAAAATGTTGGTTTTTCAGTTTTAGGTTAAATTTTTTTTGCTACATTCTCATAAATCAGTGAGATTATTAATTTTCGGTTAAATTTATCGATGGGTTTTCTAGAGAGAAGTCAGAGGAAATTGGGTTTAGAGAGAGAGAAAGGCTCGGGTGGTTTTGAGAAAAAACACTGAGAGGTGCCATATATACTAACCCAGCATGACGTCATTTTAAGCCAGCTAGGATCTGCGTGCAAACCCAATGACCTACGTGTTAACCTTCACTCTAACCCAACCCAATCGCAAGTTTTCTCTTTTTTATTTTATTTTTATTTTTATTTTTATTTTTTGATTTGATTTGATTTTATTTTATTTTATTTTAAACCTATTTTTTATTTTTTGGTTTTATTTTTTTAAAAAGATAAAAAAGAAAAAAGGTTATTCCTGCCACTTTTATTTCTAAAAAAAAAGTAAAAATTAAAAAATGAAGTTTAAAAAAAAGGAAAAATAATTCTACAAAAAATATAAAAAAATGATAAAAAAAACCTTTCAAAAAAATAAATAAATAAAATAAATAAAAATTTTAAATAAGCAAAAATAATTTTTATCCTCTAAACTATTGGAAAATTACTTTGAAGTGAGCCTTACCAAACTATTAGGAAGCTTCACTAATTTTTCTGGAATAAAAATTAATAAATCAGACGATGGAGCCATTTCAAAGTGGAACACTAGGCTCCATGAATACTCCTGAGATAAGAGAATTATCCTAAATTGCTATCAAACTATTTGGATAATTTTATGGTTGATTTTCAATACTAAATTATTTGATAAAATCATAAAAATGATCAAGGCTTGGATAATTTGATATCAAATTGGTGCCATCCTTTGGATGGACATTGTGGGGATGCTACAACATTCTCAATACATAACCGATTCCCAAACCTAACATCTGTTTTACAGACTAGAATATGTTTTAAGTGACCAATCACACCTAGACAAAAAAATTAGTGGTGACTTCTTCCATCCATGTCTAACAATAAGTCCATGACCATCTTCTGTTGTTGATGGTTTTAATACACAAAAATCCTTTCAAACAAGATTAAGTCATTTCATCAAACACCATGATCTAAAAAAATTTAAAAAAAAACAAATGCTAAGATGAGATGAAAAAAAAAACATAATAGACTATTTTAGAATGGTTTTTTAAGGATATCTTGAATGAATCAACAAATTCATGTTAACAAGTAACAATTTTTCAGTAATTTAAAAAATATTTTGTTGAAAAAAAACTAAACCTAAAATTTCATTCGTATTTGTAACTAAATTTAACATTTAATTTCAAGTTTTTCAAAGAAAAACCCTATTTCTTTCACTTTTTGTTTCATCTGAAATTTTTCTCACCAACCAAACAAAACTAAACTCAGAACTGCAATAATGAAATAAATTGGTAAAAAAAAAAGAAAAATAATTGCTAAACACTAACAATTGCCAATGTTGAAATAGAGCTTACCAATAGAGCTTGAATGTCATTAAAAACGTAATAAATCAAATAAAAAATTTAAGGATTTGACCCAACAAATCAGACAAAAAATTTAGGGATTTGACCTAAATTGTAAGAAAGCTAACTTAAAATTTACAAAAACAAAAGTAAAAAAAAAAATAAAAATTGGCCACAAAATGACTAAAACTTTGGCAAAAATGAGAAAAAAAATGGCCCAAAATGAGCAAAAATGAAAGAAATTAATAGGAAAAAAAAAAGCAAAAAGGGGGTCTTGTGGGTTTAAAATTTAAAAAAAAATTATTAGCGAAAAAATGTGATTATTGAAGGCGTTTTTGGCTAAAAATACCTCTAATAATCCTCTTCAATTTTTTTTTGGATTATTCAAGGCATTTCTACAAAAAACACTTTCAATAATCTTCTCTATTTTTTATGAGAGGATTATTGAATGCGTTTCAGGTAAAAAAGCGCCTTCAATAATCTCTTCTAAATTTTTATGAGAGATTATTAAAGGCTTTTCAGGTAAAAAAACGCCTTGAATAATCTGTTCATAAAAAATAAAGATGATTATTTAAGGTATTTTCTACCATAAAACCTTTAATAATTTTTTTAAAAAAATTGTAGAGGATTATTAAATACGCTTTTAGTCAAAAACGCCTTCAATAAATCTACCAAAAATGGTAATGCCTTCAATAATTCCTAAAAAAAAAATCTAAAAAATACTAAAGAGAAGGATCAAACCTATAACCTTATGGTTAACGACTGTATGTTTTAACCAACAATGCTACTCTATTTTTGATAGGTTTATTAACAAAGAGATTTATTGAAGACGTTTTTAACCAAAAACGCCTTTAATAATCATCTACAATTTTTTAGAAGAATTATTAAAGGCATTTCTTATAGAAAATGCCTTCAATAATCACCTCTATTTTTTATGAAAGGATTATTTAAAGCATTATCTACCAAAAACGCCTTCAATTATCTCTAATCTATTTTTTATGAGGGGATTATTCAAGGCATTTTCTGTAAAAATCGCCTTTAATAATCACTTCAATTTTTTAGAAATGATTATTCAATGCGTTTTAGTCGATAAATGCCGTTAATTTTTGTCTTTAATGGCATTTTATAAGTACAAACACTGTTATTTGAATATTTAAAATCATTTTGATAAAAAAAACGCCTTAAGTCTTATAAAAACACGGAATCTAACGACGTTTTTAAGTGAAACACTACTACAAAATTGCTACTAATATTTCATTTTCTTGTAGTGTCAAAATATATAATTAAAACTCTTTATCATTATTTCTTTTTAATTTGATAATTTCATAGTTGTTTTAATGTTTATATTTTAGTCCATACAATAGTACAAATACCTACTACCAAATGCAAATTGGAGTCAAAACATTCATTTTTGACCGAATTAATTGCTTTAATTTTCTTATAAATATCTATTTACCTTACATTTTTTTACTATTTATTTAACTATTAAATGTGTAGTTTAAATCAATTTATCCTAAAATCATATAAATTTACTGGAAATATCACTCTTACCTTTTTTAAATATGAACTCCTTTTCAAACTGAATTTAAATTATTTATTTAATTCAAACTATTTTTTCCTTTCCAATCATTTCTCATTAAATGGTTTGATTCAATTTGGTTATCATTTTGTCCATCACTTAGATTATAAAATGTGGGGTTTTTGAATTGACTCAAAGTATATTTTTCATAATTTTTACAATTTTTACCTAATCAATCAAAAGTTTTTATTACCATTTTGCTTTTTGTATTTTGTTTTCCTTTTTTTTTTTTTTGTTTCATATCAATTTATTAACTTTTTCTCTAAATAGTTATATAATATGCTTTATTAGTTTATATGAATTACCTTACCTCTCTAAATGCTGTCTACCAATTTATTTGTATTTTTCTAATACTATCTATATTTGAAAATTTGTATAACATTTTAAAAAATTATATTTTAATGCAACATATCATAAGAATTTCTACATTTTAGATAGGTTATATAATTTAAAAAGAGAAAAATAATCGTGTCAAGAATACTTATTTCATTTAAAATAAAAAATGTCAAATTATATGTTTATTTTAAAATTTTTTATTTTTATATAAAGTTATTAATTATATTATAATTAAATTTTTTATATATATAATTATTACTCGCGCATTTCATAAGTTTAAAACTAGTTATGGTAAAAAATTGTGATTAGTAATATCTTATGACCAAAAGTTGCAAACTTGATAGTATTCTATGCATGCTTTGATAAAAATTACGATCAAATTTGAATTTAGTAATATCTTGTGACAAAAAAAATTATTGTTTATAACAAACTATGTTTTGATAAAAAGTTATGATCAAATTTGGACTTAATAATATCTTGTAATAAAATGTTACGATTAATAACATGCTATATATGTTTTGATAAAAATTACAATCAAATTTGAATTTAATAATATATTGTGATAAAAAATTTCCTATTTATAACAAACTACATTTTGATAAAAAGTTATGATAAGATTTGGACTTAATAATATTTTATGATTAAAAAGTTACAATTGATAACATGCTATATATACTTTGATAAAAGTTACCATCAATTTTGAATTTAATAATATCTTATGATAAAAAATTATTATTTATAATAAATTATATTTTAGTAAAAAGTTACTACCAAATTTGGACTTAAGTAATATTTTACAATAAAAAATTACGATCAATAATATATTATATATGTTTTAATAAAAATTACGATCAAATTTAAATTTAATAATATCTTATAATAAAAAATTATTAGTTATAACAAACTATGTTATAATAAAAAGTTACGATATTTTATAATAAAAATTTACCATTTATAACAAACTACGTTTTGACAAAAAGTTACGATAAGATTTTAACTTAATAATATCTTGTGATAAAATGTTAATTGATAACATGCTATGCTTTCATAAAAAGTTAATAATATCTTGTAATAAAAAATTACTGCTTATAACAAGCTGTACTTTGATAAAAAGTTACCATCGGATTTGGACTTAATGATTTGTGATAAAAAGTTCCTATTGGTAACATAATACGTGTTGATGAAAAGTGATAATCAAACTTTGATTTAATAATGTCTTGAGATAAAAAAAAATTACTATTTACAACAAACTATGCTTTGATAAAGAGTTACTATCAGATTTGGATTAGTAATATCTTGTGATAAAAAAGTTACAACTGAATGTCAATACGAGGTAAAATTGAAAATAAAAAATTTTGTCGCAACAAAGATTATCAATTATAAATTTATTATAATTACCATTATCAAATTCAATCACTAAAATAAAAATTCTAAACATGGGGTGTGTTAGTTTGCTGGGGTTCATGACAAGGCAAGCGTTTGTTATTTATGTTCAACTTTCAAGCGTTAAATTCCATATCCCAAGCAACAGGACTGTTACAATTATGGGAGTGGATTTAGAGAGTACGGCCCCTTTGTTTTCTTCTCATCACATGATTTACAGGTAAGCCAATACAAGAAGAAGAATCCACTTGGGTTATTGGGCACGCTTGTCTCAAATATAGAGTAGGCCCACAATTATTGGTACAAAAGTATTTGTCTAAACAATAGTATTAATGAGAAAAATACGTATATGAATAGTGAATACAGTTGCATCTCTTTTACAAACTCTATCTCCCTTATCTACTAGAAACAACAGAAAGAGATAATGATACAGAAATCGCCTTCCAAAGATAGGACGGCAAGACCAGCATGGCAGCATCTCAATGTGAAACAAGTATCGTTCTTGAACAAGATGCAATGTGAAGAAGTTACAAGAATCTTAATGGATGTGCTATAATCTATGGCTGTCTGGTCTAAAATGGTTATCATAAAAGGAAAACTGATCAGGTGGTACCCCAACTGCCCTGGTTGAACGGAAGATAGGAAATCCTTCTTTAGTGGGCATCCGGGGCACTAGGTCAGGATAGGAGGGGAAACTGGGATAAATCTGAAGAATAGAAGAGGGTAGGCCTGGTTCCAAGTAAGGATCAAACCTCAGTTTCTGAGTGGTTATTCTTGACCCTGTTTCTTCATATCGACCAGTGAGAATTTGATCAGCATTTATATAACCAGATGAAGCATTTGCAGTTGGGACTGTAGAAAAACTTGATCTGGTATCCATGTAAGGGCTACTGAAAAATCGATCACTATTAGCTGGCTGATAATTAATAGAACTACTCGACTGGGTGTTCATACAAGAGGTGGTTAGAAGATGGTTGCTAGCAGTTGGTGCAACTCCTGCATCAGGGCAATAGTTTGCCAATCTCAACCGTGAACCTGAACCCAGAAAGTTCACTTTAGAGGCCTCTATTGAAAAGTCACTTGGTACCCTCAAGAGTCCAAAACATCCAAAAGGCATCTCTACCCTCTCCCCAACTTTTCGTCCAGAAACAAGAGGTTCAATAGCTTTTCCTCCAGATGCACCTTCTATCAGTGGCAATGTATTGATTTTCTGTTGTAATGACAACCTAGCTTGTTTAAGTGCATCCAGCACACCAGAAAACCTGCTAGATGTTTCATTTGGCACCAATGCATACAGCTCATTTTTGTTTTCAGGAGGGTCTCTATTTGAACTACTGCCCATATCAGATGAAAAGGGTTGCACTTCCGGGTTCCCAAGGGAACCATCTGCATGTGCAAATTGATGGGAGACATCTAAAGGAGAATGGTTGCTCCGCAGACTCTCCTGACAATGATTTTCGTTTGCCATGGGAATTATATATTTTTGACCCAGGGATTTAGGATTTAGAGATTCAGGAGAAAGGGAGCTACTACACCTCTGATCCTGTAACTGATCCATATCACCCAGTGAAGGTGGCACAAGATCATTGGAGTGACTTTGGGGTAATTCTCTAGAGAAGCAAATGTGTTCTCCGTCTGCCCCTTGGACTTCTGAGCTAGCTGCCCCAGGTACATATTGAGCTTGTGTCTTGATCTCATCTCTTTCCTCAGTGACATCAGAGTGGTTCCCAGGATCACATGAATCCTAAATAATTTATGACCAAAAGACAATAATATCAGCATTCACAAGCAAGGTTTCCACACAAGTGCCGAAACATTCAATAAATGTCTAGATAGCATAAGATAAACACAACCATACCAATTATTAATAGCGATCAATAAAACATTAAAAGACAAAAAATCAACAGTTTATATAGCACCCTAACAATGAAAATGATGCTAATGCCTTTATCACCAAGAAAAGCTAACTGACCTTTTGCCTGATAACAATACCGTAGAAAGTATTTAACATCTCATCATTTAGGGTTTGTTCTACTTAGCTCGTGATGCCACTGGCTTAACTTATTAATACAACAACAATAAACTAAGCCTTGTATACTATAATTTTGGGGTTGGCTGTATGAAAGGCCAAAAAAAGGAATCATGTTAGGTCATAGTTTTGAATCTTTTTGTGCCACTCATTTCCATCAAAAACAACATTTTCATCTACTTAACCCTCATATCATTTCTTATTACTTGCATCCACATCTTTCGTGGTCTACCTCTAGAAGTTTTGGTCTCCTTTAAATCCAGAAGCTCATTTCTCCTAACTGGTGCATAGAACGACCTACATTTCACATGTCACCATCTCAAATGGCCCTCTATCATCTTTTCCTTAATTCAGGCTACCCCTAATTTTCCTCAAATCTCTTCATTTATGATTTTGTCTCTTTTAGTCTTACGACACATCCATCTAAGCATCCTCATCTCAGCTATGCTCATTTTCTTCTCATATTGTTTCTTAAAGGCCAACACTCAATCCCATATAACAATGCAAACCTTACAATTGTTTTATACAACTTCGCCTTTAACTTATTGATGTCCTTTAAATTTTCAGAGGCAAGGCACACTGGACATAGGATGCTGTGCAACCCCGTGGATTTATTTTGAGTAGGTTTCAGTTATTGAGTCCATATGCTTTTGGTATTAGAGAGACAGATTGTCAACACTTAAGAAACATAATAAAGTAGAGAGCGCAGAGAGAAGGCAGAGCCAGACCATGAAGTATTTAGTGTCATGCTGATTGAAGGAATCGGGATGACTTCAGAATCGGAAGCAGGGAGTAAGAAGTTAGGATTGGGAAAAAGGATTTAGGTAGTTGGAATTGATAGCAGAAAGTAAGAGGCGGGCAGGAGAGAAAGAATTCTATACAGAAAGTCTACTCCCAGTACAACCTCCCCCCCCCCCCCCAAAAAAAAAAAAAAAACTTCAAATTGAGGGGTAAGCATCCCTATATATAGGCCATTAGATTTAGTTAATGCATCAAATATACAGTCATGCTAGCACTGTATAGTATTGAAGGCTAAAATACATTCTAAGGAGATTGGCTACTAGAACAAACATTGTTACGAAAAGGAGGAGATAGTACCATCAGTAGAATATAACACAAAGGAGACACTTGTAGAAAGGGAAGAATCTTTACTCGCACCATATCCAAGCCCATCAAGGCAAACCCTCCAAAGCATCCCACTCAGATTGACCCACAGATAATGCTAGTCGTCTAGGAATTAAACCCGCCAATTTAACTGTTTACATAATATAAAACTTAGATACTACAAAGTTACTTGCCTCTAACAAGGGTAAATTGGTAAGTTCAAATTTTCCAAAACTGGCATCTACAGTGGCACTTTTAGTTAATGCTTCTTGAGTTTTTGAAGGAGGGTTCTTGTCCCAGCAACCAATATTTTTATGTAACTTATCAACATGTTGTCTTAAAGGAGCTTAATGCAGTTTGGTTTTAGATAGACAGATCACATGAATACACCTAGCAAAGAAAGCGATACATGCATGCACACATGCACACATGTAAAGAAAGAGAGTGATCCAGACAAAACGGCAAGAGAAAAAGGATGGAAAACTCTGAAGCTTAATTGCTAGCAACGTTTCTAGATGCTATCGAGCTCTGTAAAGATATTTATTTATGCATTTACCTTGCCTGCTCAATTTAAGAATATCCCCTAAAAGTATTTAGAGTTAAGGGTACTTCATAAATTCAGATTTGCCAGACATGTAATCTCCAATAAAAATTCAGATAGTTTCCTAATTTAGAATCAATATCCTACACATAAAATGTTTCTTGTGTTGCTAACCTCTAACATGTTTTAGGGAGGTTAGCAAATATCTGTAGCTTCAGTGCTGTACTGCCCTCACTCCTTGAAAAAATGTGGATAACAGAGGAACTTCCTAGGTGACACAAGACCATAGGACAGTCAACAAGGATCCCATCCTTAGAACCAAATATCAAATTCTTTTAATTTGGATTTCAGAAAATCAAATTAAAGAATTTAGACAATGATTTGCTTGCAACCATTATTCATAATTAATTCTAACTTCAAACTTAGACTAATTGTATTTAGTTATATAGACAGAATTAATGTCAGCTGCCACTTTCAGCAACTGTTTGTGTGTGTGTCCAAGAGAGAGTTTTCTCATCTCACAAGAAAATAAAAGAAAATCCAGTACAAAAGAGAAAGGACATTGGCTGGCCACCAAATAACTGAAGTGGAGGTTAGCCAAACTAAATCAAATCCACCCAACCCTCCCCCAACCAAAAAAAAAGAAAGAAAGAGGACAACCTCCACTCACAAATCTTCCCAATTCAATAGAAGATAAGTTTTTGGACCTACAATGTATTTGCACTCACACATATATAAACATACATATATATTTGCACAATAGGGAGCACTGCAGCTCAAACCTAAGATCTGTAGAATACTTAAAGAACAATTGTCCTTATTTTTTCTTATTCTATCTACAAGTAAGGAGTACATTTAAATAAATAGGAACAGTGAAGTTCCTTATTAGGAAACAACTTATATGAAATAGAAAACAAAAAATAATAGCAGGAAGGAGAATTATTCTATTCTAACATAGAACCAAATCCCTAAAAGCTTGACAATAAGAATAGTTGACTAAATCAGAAGAGTAAATGAGAAAATTTCCAAAAATAAATTAGGAAATCAAGCTGCACTAATGTAAGAGAATAAGATTCCTACACTCCCCCTCAAGTTGGGTTATGAATATTAATCATACTTAACTTGGATTTCATTTCGTCAAAAATGCTTCTAGGAAGAGCTTTAGTCATAATATCTGCAATTTGTGAACTTGTAGGGATATAGGCCAGTTTGACCGACCCATTTCTATCTTTTCCTTTATGAAATGTTGGTCCAGCTCTATGTGCTTGGTCCTATCATGATAAATAGGATTTTTGGCAATACTTATAGTAGCCTTATTATCACAAAACAGTGTCATTCTGAACTTTTAATTCTCCAAGTAACCTCATCAGCCAAATTCCTTCACAAATACCATGGGACATTGCTCTAAACTCAACCTCAGCACTGCTCCTAGCTATAATAGCTTGCTTTTTACTTCTCCACGTGACCAAATTGCCCCAAACATAAGTGCAATATCCAGTAGTGGACCTTCTATCTGTTACTAATCCAGCCTAGTCAGTATCTGTGTACACCTCGATTGCCCTGTCCATTGACTTCTTAAAATATAGACCTTCACCAAGACTCTTCTTTAAGTACTGTACGATGCAATGAACAGCCTTAAGATGCTCCTGGGTTGGATTATTCATGTATCTACTCACTATCCCTACAGCAAATCCGATATCAAGTCGTGTGTGGGAAAGATAAATAAACTTCCCAACTAGTCTTTGGTATTGCCCTTTGTCCATGAGAGAGCTTCCATTTTCACTTCCAATTTTATTAGTTGAGTCCATGGTGTATCGGTAGGTTTGTATCTAATCATGCCGGTTTCTTTGAGTAGATCAAGTACATACTTACGCTAAGACACTAATATTTCATTCTTTGACCTAGTCACTTCCATCCCAAATCCTTTATTTCAAACTCCTTTGCAAGGAGTTTCTTCAAATCATCTATTCCTTCCTTGTAGTCTCCGGTGATTATGATATCATCCACATAAACAATAAAAATTACTCTTTTTCCTTCATTAGTGAACTTAACAAACATAGTATGATCAAATTGACATTGAAGGAATCCATACCTCTTCATTGCCTTGGTCAACCGTTCAAACCAAGCTCGAGGAGACTGTTTAAGTCCATACAAAGATTCTCGGAGTTTGCTCACTTTGCTCGTGTTGTCTTGCCTTTCAAAACTAGGGAGAACTTCCATGTAAACATCCTCCTCCAAGTCACCATTTAAGAATGCATTCTTGATATCAAGTTGGTGGAGAGGCCAATCCAAGTTGGCTGCTAGTGACAATAGAACTCTAATTGAATTGAGTTTGGCTACCAGAGCAAATGTCTCCTCATAGTCTTTCCCATAGTATTGAGTGAACCACTTTGCGATAAGTCTAGCTTTGAACCAGTTTATACTTCCATCTACATTGTGCTTTATTGTGAAGATCCACTTACATACAACCGGGTTTTTCCCTTTGGGCAAATCTAAAATTTCCCATGTCTCATTCCCATTTTTCTCTAGTGGCTTGATTTCTTCAAGAACTGTTGCCTTTCAATCTGGTTCATTAAGGACTTCCTAAATATTTTTTGGAATTTGCACATTGTCAAAGTTAGTAGTAAAGGCTCGAAAGCTTGGATTTGACCTATGATGTACTTGCAGATAGGGTACCGGGTGCATGATCTCACACCTTTTCTTAATGCAATAGGAATGTCAAGGTCACCAGCTGGCTCACAAGTTTTAGTTTCAGATTCAATGGAGACATTACCTGTGTTAGTTTCAGGTTCTTGGAGACTCGGATCATGTTGATTTTTAGTGTTAGGTTCTGTACAATTGTCCACTTCTTCCTATGGTTTTTGCTTCCTTGAGTAGACCATCAGTTCTTTAGTTTTTTCTTACATAACCTTAAGGTTTGAAGAGTCAAGAGTTGTTTGAACAGGTTGGGTTTCAGAATCTGCATGGTTAATAGGTTGGGTAATTGCAAGTCAACAGCTAAGAATTGATATTCCTGAGTAGTATTCTCCCGCTGAATAGCATTCTTGCTATAGCATTGAAGATTCTCAAAGAAGGTGACATTCATAGAGCTACAAAAATTTTTTGTAATGGGTGAGTAACACCAATTGCCCTTTTGGTTTGGGGAATAAGGAAGATGCATTTTAAGGCTTTGGGATCAAGCTTGCTGCGGTTTTCTTGGCTAATATGAACAAAGGCAATGCAGCCGAAACATTTGATGGGAATGGAAGAGATCAACAAAGTTTGTGGGTAGGAAGCAAGGAGAGTTTGACAAGGTGTTTTAAAGCCAAGAACTCGAAAAGGCATTCGGTTAACCAAATAAGTTGCAGTGAGGACAGCTTCTCCCCAAAAATATTTAGACATATTGGAAGTCAACAAGAGGGATCTGGTCACTTCTATCAAATGTCTATTTTCGTGTTAAGCAACCCCATTTTGCTGTGGAGTGTCAATGCAAGAGCTTTGATGGATAATGCCATGATTGGTGAGGTAAGGGCAGAAAATAGAGTTGAAGTATTCCCTTAGTCTTTAGGACTTGGATTTTGGCTTGGAATTAGGTTTGTACCATGCTATAGAAGTTTTGAAAGATTTGGCTAACCTCGGATTTTTCTTTTATAAGGAATAGCCAAGTGAGTCAAGTATGATCATCGATTAATGTAACAAACCACCTAGAACCTGTGATATTGTTAACTCTTGATGGTCCCCAAATGTCATTGTAAATCATTGAGAAGGGCTGAGATGATTTATAGGAAAGGCTACGGTAGGTATTTCGAGTGTGCTTGGAAAGTTAACAAATTTCATATTGAAAATCTTTAGAGATGTTATTGAATAATGAGGGAAATAGCCTTTTTAGGTATGAAATATTTAGATGTCCTAATCTATAATGCCATAACATAATAAGGTCATCCTTACTAGTACTAGAGGCTAAGGCTATACAAGAGTTTTGTGGTCTCTCAAGTATATCATCTTAAAGAAGATAGAGCCCTACACACATACTAGCACTACCAATAATCCTCCCCAAGCCCAATTCCTAAAATTCATACAAGTTGGAAAAAAATGTAGTGACACAACATCTATCCTTCGTAAGTTTACTGATGGAAAGTAGGGTACAACTTAAATTAGGGACATGGAGGATAGAGTCAAGTATTATGTCTTTTGAAATTACAATAGAACTTGTTCCCGCCACCTTTGAGAGGGAGCCATCAACAATTTTTACAGTAGAACTATTATAGCAAAGTCTATATGTGTTGAATAAGGATGCATCTCCAGTCATGTGATCTGATGCTCTTGAATCAACAATCCAAGATTATGTATTTTCCCGTTGAACACTTAAGGAATTTAGGAAATTACCTTTTTGTGCTAGTAAACTAGTTCCAAAGGTTGCAGACTCATTTTGAAGGGTTTGTTGGAGTATCACCTCTTTGTAACTTTCTTCATGTCATACCTCTGCAAAAGAAGAGTTCGCACTCCTGCTAGCCATAACGGAAACTCATGTGGCTACAGTCTAATGGTTCAAGCCAACTTACTCCAATACCATGTAGAATACTTTAAGAACAATTGTCCTTATTTTTTCTTATTCTATCTACAATGAAGGAGCACATCTAAATAAATAGGAACAGTGAAGTTTCTTATTAAGAAACAACTTACATGAAACAGAAAACAAAAAATAATAAAAGAAAGGAGAATTATTCTATTATAAAATAAAACAAATCCCTAAAAACTTGACAATCAGAATAGTTGACTAAATCAAAAGAGTAAATGAGAAATATTCCCAAAATAAATTAGGAAATCAAGCAGCACTAATGTAGGAGAATCAGATTCCTACAAGATCTCTATACAATCCACCACCACCCTTGCTATTTGAGCAAGCACAACTGGTCACCTACAGTTTTTGATAGGTCTCTTTTCCTTCATTTGTATGTACTTTTAAAGAGATTCCTTTTAACATAAGACAAAACTGCCTAGGTTTTAACCTTTGCTCTGTCTTTAAATTTTCTAATTTTCCAGCCTATCTCAATAGAAAACCGCTTTCCTTTATCAATTCCTAAAATAAATTTCATCAAAATCATAATTAATATCACATCAATGATGCCTTGCACAATTAAAACTCTTTTCAGCCACTCTTGATAGAATTAGACACCAACATTTTACTTTTCAGCACCATTTACAGTCCAAATGACAAACTGCCATTACTATATTATTTGAATTAGAATTAAAACTAATTACAAAGCTCATAAAAAGTACTGCAGAACCACTGAAGATCCTGCACCAGAGAACTGCAGAACCACTGAAGATCCTGCACCAGAGAGCATGCACTTAGCAATGCTATCTAATTACAATCTAGACATGCAGTTTACAACACCAATATCATATGCCAGTATGTCACACGTATGCAACTTCATATGCCAGTATGTATGAGATAACAAGCATCTAGTAATTACAAAAGCAAGGATGATAAATAAATCCAGAGTATCCAACTAGCAGGAAGAGAGAGAAAAAAAAAAAAAAAAACCAACATTTTGCACTAAATGCCTTCCTAGTCCAGTAAAAAATTTAATTCCACTGCTAAAGAAATTTTAAAATATGCAACAGAAGTAACCTTGAACTAAAACTGTCGATCATGGAATTTACTTGTTTCAAATAAACATAAAAATGCACAACACCATTTAGCAAGATATCATAACTAAGCAAAAGAATTTAAATCATTTGTATCAAATAGGTGTTGCTGAAGCATACCGGTGTACTATTGTTATTTTCTCTGAACTTCTCTTCCCATTCTCTTTGGGCCCTTTCCATTGCTTTATAACGGCTGATAAGTTGTGCTCGATCTTCTAGTGCCTTTGCCATGTCTTTCTCTCCTTCATACCCATGGAAATCAAGATCACAACCAGTTACATTTCTTTCATCTTTTAAGGCATCTGAATGTAGATTGTCCATTGAGCTTTTATTCTCACCAATTTCAGAATGCATTGGCAAGATATCAGGCTCACTTTCAGAGTGATTGGTATGAACTTCTGAAGAGTTTACAAGTCCATTAATTTGTGGCTCAAGCTTGACATCGTCTGATTTAAGCTCCCCTGCTACTAATCTGATAAATAAAGCAAGCATAGATAAATTTTTTGTTTACTTCACTAATGAGAGTATATACCAGTGAAGAAATCCATGTTGAACATGCAAGATGTTAACATATACCAAGATGAAGAATACTCTCCAGTGAGGTCATTTTTATAACTGAAAATGAGAAGAATCGTCCTCATAATAGCATTATTTCATGCTGATATTTTAGTCCTGATTTAAGCTCCTCTGCTACTGATCTGATAAATAAAGCTAGCATAGATAAATTTTTTCTTACACAGATACCTGTGAGGAAATCCATATTGAACATGAAAGAAGTTAACATGTACCCAGATGAGAAAGTTCTTAAATGAAGTCATTTTTGCAGCTGAAAATGAGAAGAATGATCCTTATAATTACAATATTTCATTTTGATCTTTCAGTTCTACAGTTTCCATGACACATTAAGCCATACAAATAGTATCAAAGTAAAAACGCATTGTCTTCACCTCCGTTGTTTGTCACCCATGATTATGGTCTGAACTTAGAACTATTCTCACTACACCCATCCCTTTTGGTGTCAAATCATTTTTTTTTAATCATTTGCAATCTTAATGTTAGTATTCCTTGCATAAGAGAGCAGTGCTTATCATACAGGGTTTATCATGCAAAACTATAGAACTCCTTAGGAAAATTCACAAAAGCTTGGTATATTCTTATGACTTACCTTTTTTCAAAAAGAAATAATAAAAAAATAGGGCATGCCACATTGTTGTGCTAGAATAAAAGTAACAGTCTAATGTACTAGCCTTGATTCCCGACGTCTTATCTGCCGGCATGATTTGCCTTGGCGGTGTTTTGGAGATGAAAAACCCATAGATGCAAAACTATTGCGTCTTCTCACAAGTGAATCTTTATACTTTTCAGGAGAATGAGAAGCACTCTTGCGGCCTTTCCAGGACAAGCTTCTACCAGATACTGGAGAAAAATCAAGGTCAGAACCTGAAAGTTCCTCTGACTCTTTTCTTCTCACTTTTGAACTGACAGAGCTCTCCTGTTCTTTAGTAGAACCATCATCCATGTTGGATTCAAAAGGTGCACCCTGATCGGAGCTTGAATCAAGTTCCTCAGATATATCACTTACTCCATTATTCTCCAAAATGGCAAGAACATCTGCTGTTGCCTTTTCAGCCTTCCTCCTTTGGACAGACACAATTTTTAGTTGTTCCTCCAGTTCAGATACCTAATTCATATAGAATACCAAAATTATAAAGCATTAAAAAGAGTATTACATGAAATAGAGAGAAGAAAAACTAGAACCCGCAAATCTCAAAAGGCCTCCTAAGTATGACATAAAAACATACCCTTTTCACAAGTTCATAAGCTCTCTGTCTAGCACTTTTTGAGACAGATCGTTCAGACAGTAAACGTGCTCTAAGGAATTCAATGGTCTTTGTGGAATCCTCCATGTTGCAAGTTTTCCTAAAGAAACATGGATAAAACAATCACCCAAAAATCAAACAGCAAACTTCAGACCTAATTTGGTATAACTTTACGAAAGATCAATATGTCCCACCCCCCCTTCTCTCTCTCTCTCTCTCTCTCTCTCTCTCTCTCTCTCTCTCACACACACACACACACACACACATGCCCACCCCAAGCATGCATGAGTAATACAAGTAGAAAGTAATGTTCAAAGTCCAAACTCCAAACTGTAAAAACCGACATTCCATCAATTCATCCACTAAGTATGAACTGTTACTAAAGCTAACACAAAGACAAAATCTATTTTTACATAAAAACTTCAGTTTCTCCATATAAAAAAAAGGGCAGCCCGATGCGTAAAGCTCCCACTATGCACAGGGTCCAGGGAAAGGTCTATTGTATGCAGTCTTTTTTTGCATTTTTGCATGAGTCTGTTTCCACGACTAGAACCAGTGACCACCAGGTCACATGGCAGAAACCATACCGATTGGACTGAGGCTCCCCTCCTTAAAAAAGGGGTGCAACAACAGAACTTCCCAAAAGGTCACCCGTCCTAGTATTACTCTTATCCAAGCACGCTTAATTGCGGAGTTCTATTAGGATCCTGTGCATTAGTGCTAATATGATCACACCCAAATAAATTTGCTTATTAAATAAATTTAGTTTCTCCATATGAATAAATAAATTAACTTATTAAAAGAAATGTACATAAGAAGCAGAAAGACTTGCCATAAAGGAAAAGAAACAAGTATACTTCCAAGGCATCAAGAGGCTTCCTCCCGAGAAAGGGAACTACCATGCAAGAGAAAACTTCATTGGGAAACTAAACAAGTACAATAACAGAAACTAGCCATGTTTGAGGTTCATTCGAAACAATACTGTAGATCTTATGAAAGATTATCACCAACTAAAATTAAAGCTACATGCAAAACCTCTAAACTGAGCTCTAGCATCAGCCACCATAGCATGAAAAGTAAAAGTAGGATCACCAAGAGCAGTTCTCATGCTTTCTTAAATTCTTTAGTTAGCAAATTTTGTAAAGAGAAGCATCCCCAACCCAACTTGAAATAATGATATTCCCAATAACTCTCCTTTCAAAATCCTGATCAATCCAATTCAAACAGCTAACTCTCCAATTTATCTAGAGATAAATGTTTATGCAATGGCTAAAACCAGGTTTCACATTGCGCCACTCAAGACAAACATGCTCTAAAAGTCTCAAATTTTAGCTTCTCAACTGAAGCTCACTCCTCTTAAAACCCAAAATAAAGAAGCAAACAAGAGGATACTAATCCAAAAGCTTAAAAGTAATCTAAAAAACGAAGAGAAAGTTCATACCTTACCAAAAATAAGGGAAAAGAAAAAGAACTCATGAGCTAAAACTACTTTAACAACATAAAAGAAACTGAGAGCATCAAAACTCCAAAAAGGAAGAAATACCCAGACTATATTTACCTTTGATCTTGCTTTTCTTGATCAGAATTCTGCATTTTAGAAGCTGGAGACTTTGATCAGCCACACTGCAAATATCCCAAAAAGTCAGCTTTTCTAATTAAAAACAAAACAAACAAAACAAAAAAAAAAAAAAAAAGAATCAGAAAGAATTAGAGTATGATGATGAATGAGGAAAACAAGGTTTCTGATTCAGAAAGGAAAGGAAAGAAAAGAGAGTGAAAAATACGTTAGAAAGCAAACTCCATCGAAGAGAAGCCAAAAGAGAATCGGATGACTTTTACTTTGTTTTTATTTCACCAATTTCTACTTTGGAGGGGTCCGTTGGAACAGAGAAAACACGAAGAATTTGTTTCTTTATTTTGGAGACGACCATTTGGACAGGCGCTGGCCCACGCCACGTCTACATTTTATCTTTGTTTCCCTTCTTTTTCTTTTATTTATCTTATTATTATTATCTCTCTTCTTTTAGTTTAATTTTTTGAGGTTATGAAGTTTTTGTTTAAAAAAAAATACCATCAAATTTTGTATAATTATTATGTTATCATATATTATATATTTTAATAGTGCTTTAACCTTTATTGATATGATTAAGCCATAATTATTAGTATATTATGGTTGTCTATGGCATCAACATAATTTTTTTTTTTGCTTTGTTATTTTTTATTGTTTTAGTTTTTTTATATTTTATTGACAAAAATTTTTTATAATTTAACCATAAGAAAGCAATCATTAAAAAAATTCTTGTCAATCCGAAATATATCTATTTGTTTAAGTTATTTTTTATATATAAATAATTATGCAAATTCGAAAATAATTTTTTAGGTAATAATGTTAAATAAAAAAACTAACAATGAAAGCTTATTTTTCTCGAAAAAATTAGAGTATGTGAATATTAATTAGATAAAATTTTATATTAACATCAAAAGCAATAAATTATGTGTTAATTTATAAAATTTTAAAATGGGACAAACTTTATATGTTTAAGCAAACTTTCAATAATATGAACTTTATTAGTTTTAATTATTTATATTATATGCAACTACATATTCAACAAATAATTATTATTGTAGAACAAGTAAAAAAAAAATTAATATTTTATCCATTCCAAATTATTTTTATTTTTTCACAAAACTAAAAAAATTGATTTTAATATATTTAAAATTTTAATTTTTAATTTTTTAATAAAATTATTGTTTCATAATTTTTAATACAAAAAATCATGAAAAATATTTTTAAAATATACTAAAATCATCATCGATGGTTGATGGTAATCTATTATTAATCCTAGCAATATAGAGTCTATACACTGAAATGAGTAAAAAAGTTTAAAACGCCAAACAACAATTATTTTTTAATTGCTAACTTATTAATTAATTGAATAAGCAATATAAATCCATTCATTGTTTTCAAATAAATTCTCATCCAAACTGAAGTTAAAGGTATTGTCAAAGGTTTGGAAACGCCCACCAAAATCCTAATTTAACAAATACAAAAGCAAAGAAGACTTATCAAAAACTTAAATTTCAATCTAAATTTTTTTTTTTTCAGAGTAAATTGTCGTAAAATTGAATTCTTATTTTTAACACTATACAAATTTTACTTTTTCAATTCTAGTCTTAAACCTCCAAAAAAGAAATCACCAGATTTGTTACGTATGAATTATAATAAGCAAATATCAGTTAACCTCAATAAATTTACGCTGCTGCTAATGTCACGCCAAACGCTTCAAAAAAAAGAGGTAGAATATTTCAATTTTATATTGGATATAAAAGGAGAGTGATTAGGATATAAAAAGATTTATATTGTCTCATTTTTGTGAGATATTTTTTATAAGATAAAATCGTAAGGTGAAGAGAGTCAAAGTAAATAATACCTTACAAGAATGTAAACTGTGATAAATAGACTAATTTGATATGTCGGAGGAATGCATATCCGGAATCCTAGAGTCGTACAAGCTTGGAGCTTAAGTTCACACATGACAAGTAGAATCAGAGTCAGCTATAAACCGTTCGATCTACATCAAACGCCTCGATAGAGGTAGCAAGGGTGGCTAACCTCCATGACGAGAGCGTCACGATGTTGAGTGGGAAAGAATGTCACGCCAAGCTCTCCAAAAGGAGTAGGCAAGGTATTCCAATCCTACATCGCACGTAAAAAAAGGTCACTGGAATATAAAATAGTTCACACCACCTCTTTTTTGTGAAGCATCTTTTGTAAAATAAAATCAAATAGCAAAGGGCTAGCGCGAATAATACCTCATAAAGATGTGAACCGTGACAAGTAAGTTGATCTAGGATACCGGATGAGTACATGTCCGGATTCTAAAACCGTAAGTGGGTTGATCTAGAATATCAAGTGAATGCATGTACAAATCCTGTAATCGTACGAACCTAAAGCTTAAATCTCGTCACATTGACACTGACCAACCTTCATATCATGCTTCCACGCCTTCTCCAAAGTTCCCTTTAACCGCTCATTGTTTCGTCATGTAATTCTTCATTTTTATCATTATAAATTGTCAAATTTTAGTGAGCAAAAGAGGTGCAAGGTGAAAGAGAGAGATGGATGCTAGGCAAAAGAGAATTAGTGTATTGATGTTCCCACGGTTGGCTCATGGTCATGTCTCTCCCTTCTTAGAGCAAGCCAAGAAGCTCACACAGGGAAACTTCTATATTTACTTTTGTTCCACTCCTGTAAATCTCAACTCCATCAAGCCAGAGATTTCTCTCAACTATTCACTTTCGATACAATTTGCAGAGCTCCATCTGCCATCCTTGCCTGATCTTCCTCCTCATTACCACACACCCAATGGGCTGCCACCTCATCTCATGAATACCTTTAAGAAAGCCTTTGACATGTCCAGTCTCGCCTTTGCCAAAAAATTGAAAACCCTCAGCCCAGATTTGCTTATTTATGATTTTATTCAGCCATAGGCACCCACACTTGCCTTGTCACACAACATTCCAGCTATCCATTTCTTGTGTTCTTCTACAGTAATGACTTCTTTCATGTTTCATGCCACCAAGAAACCTTGTCAGGAATTTCCCTTTCCTGAAATTTATATAGACGATTTTATGAAAACTAGGTTGCCTGAGAATTCTTCAGGTGATTTCAGTGATAAAGATAGGCTTCGTCAATGCTTTGAACGCTCTTCGAACATCATTTTGACCAAGACTTTTAGGGAGCTTGAGTGGAAATACATGGACTATTTTTCAGTCCTAGTGAACAAGAAGACAGTTGCAACAGGTCCACTCGTTCAAGACCCCATTATAGAATATGATGAGAAAAAAGAGATATTGGAATGGTTTAGTAAGAAGAGAAAATACTCCACAGTGTTTGTATCTTTTGGAAGTTCGTACTTTTTGTCCAAGGAAGAAAGGGAAGAGATAGCTTACGGGCTTGAGCTTAGCCAGGTAAATTTCATCTGGGTTCTCAGGTTTACTGTTGGAGAGAAAATGAAGCTTGAAGGTGCATTACCTGAAGGGTTTCATGAAAGGATTGGTGCGAGAGGAGTGGTTGTTGAGGGTTGGGCACCGCAGCCGAAAATCTTGCTAACATTCAAGCATAGGTGGTTTTGTGAGTCATTGTGGATGGAGTTCTGTGATGGAAAGCTTGAAATTCGGAGTTCCAATCATAGCCATGCCCATGCATCTTGACCAGCCACTGAATGCTAGGCTTGAAGTTGATGTTGGTGTTGGATTAGAGGTAAGGAGAAATAAGGATGGGAGCCTTGAAAGAGAAGAGATAGCAAAAGTGATCAAAGAGGTGGTGGCTGAGAAGGATGGAGAAAATATGAGAAGTAAAGCAAGAGAAATGAGCAACTATATTCAAAAGAAAGGAGATGAAGAGGTAGATGAAGTTGTAGAAGCATTGATCCAGCTACTTAGTGAAATGAAAACTGGTTCTTGTTATACTTCTTTACAATGAAGGCTATATGTCTACATAGAATGATCGATATGTCTTACATTTCCATGTTTCTATATCATTTTGTAATTGAACATATGAATATTTCCTTTCTTCTAATTTTTTTTTTTTTAACTTTTTCTCCTTTAATCTTTTAATAATATTGTACTATATGAAAAAAAAAAAAAGTGATGAAAAAGATTGAATAACAAGTAGCCGTCCTATTTGATTTTTTTTATTTTTCTCTTTTCAAAGAGAATGATGAGATAAAATTAATGGAAAATATACTATTAACAATTAAATTAAAATTTGAAACCTCGAAAAATATAAAAACTTAATTTAAAACCAAAAAAAAAACCTTTTGAATAAGAACTAAATCCGCATTTTCACGATGGCATAATTTAACATCATACTAATTTTTTTATAAGCCAATATCTTTCTACTGCAATACACAACCAGTTCAACCTCAGCTTCAAGACATGACAACTTACCAACTCGTAATAAGTAATTATATACTATTAAAATGATTAAACAGCAATTCAATTGATAAATTTATTTGAAATGTAAATTAAATTATAAAAACAAAAAAATTTTACTTAAAATTTAAAAAGTTAAATTATAATAACAAAATAAAGTTAAGATATTTGTGTATTTATATTTTTCAAACTAAAATAAACTATTTTACACTCGTTAAAAAAACCACCCACCAATCAAATAGCATTCTTTAAAAAAAACACTTTTTTTTTACTAATAATTTTTGTTCACCCACAAGACAACATGCCTATGTGGTAATATAAGTTAAAGTTCCTTGACTTACCATAAGCTAGAGACCCAGCAAGAAAAGAAATTCCTCCCCCATCCACTTTCCCTAGACAGGAGAAGAGTTGACCACAGAGAAACCATAACATAATAATAATGCTCAAACAAAACTTTTAATGACATAAAACGATAGATGCGGCTCAGACAAAGCTGCCCTGTTAATAGGGACACTGATAATGGCGAAAGTACTGTAATGAATTAGTAATGTTAAAAGATGACATATAAATCTATCTTTTGGACAACAATTCTCCTTGGTTAAAACCACAGAAAGTTATACGAAGTACAGACTACAAATAAGCTGCAATAATCTACAAAATCACTAAACTCTACTGCTCTTAAAAACAACTAAGATGCTATCATCCGCACAACCACCAAAATCTACAGTTCTTAGAAATGTATATTGTTTACCAACAGCATAGACTGCCTAATATAATCAATTCCGTATCATCAAACAGACTGTTGAAAAGAAAAGAAAGAAATCGACCAGCATTCCTTCATACTAAGTTTATTTAGTATTTACCGACCACTCCTCTCTTCTTTGGCTTCAAGGGCATCCACGTCCTCATTTGATAAAAGATCAAGAATGGGTTTATAATAATCCCACTCCTTTCTTTTCCTGATACATCAGAAACAAAAGGCAAACCACATGTCAGTATCTCTCTTTTGAAATTTCCTAATAAAGTGACAGAGCAAACAGATTAGATATCAAACAAAATGAATGTAGTTACAACATAAAGAGCACTTATCAAACAAAGAGAAAATAAAAGAGCGACACAAAAAGACTTACTAGTTAGAAGGATCTCGTAATATTAAAAGGGATAATTGAACAAGTGAAGTGCATACCAAGAAACAACCTAACCACTAAGCCATCCATTTATGCAAACTAAACTACCAATAACTGAAAAAGTGAAGTGAATACAAAGAAACAACCTACCCACTAAGCCATCCATTTATGCAAAGTGAATCTACCACAATGCTTCCAAATTGACAAAAGATTTCACCTATTAGGTTGGGACTTCTTCCATCAATTTGCCAAGGACATAACTCAAATGCTTTTTCCCTAGGAGATGGTATAATGGAAGCCCTTAGTTTGATGGTTTAGACGAGGTGGAATTTATCTTTTTCTTCTTCTAATGGTTTCAAGAACCATTGAAGATATCGCAATGCACAACTCAGCGGGAGACATAAAGTAGAAAGAACAAGGTGATGTACATTTAAATTTAGAATGCTCATTACCTTTCTTTGAAGAAAATCAATTCAAAAATGCTTTGAAAATTTAAGGTACCCAGATGCTAGAACTTGTCAGGCTAAGTCTCAGGATCATTTCACTTTGGAATGGAGCTGTCATGCAATTATAAACCACCATGACAACAGAATCTAAGGTTGGGTTTGGCAGCCTAAATTTGAATATGGATTTGGATTTAAACTTAATAAATTTCAATTCTGTTGCTTTAAAGTAATGAATTTGAAATATGTTGTTTTAATGAATCTCGATTTAAATTCAAGATTTCAACTAATCTTAACTTTAGAATGTTTTCTAAATTCTAATATGGGAACATGTTAAAAATCCTAATTATGCTAGCTTTAACAAATACATAGTACAAGAAGTAATTTGAAATCTTAGATGGACTTTATAAATTTGACCCAAACCCAAATAAAACCGTTCCGAAACAATGTATTTGGATTTTAAAATCTGAATCCCACCCCCTAAATACAGGTTTCCAAATGGAACATAAACATATTTTCAAGGCTCAATAAAGAAAAAAATTTTCTGCACGAGATTTATCTAAAGGGCCTACCGAACAACACTGGATCTAAAATTGAATAACTTCATCAAGTCCAATGCAGCACCACCTGCTTTACTGTGAGAGAGGAAAAACAGTGAGTAATGTCATTGACATACGTAAAACAACCAGGTCTGTCATGCTTAGAAAGAATCAATGTAGCCAGAAAAATAAAGGGGGGTAAAAAAAAGATTAAATTAAAGTATTAAACCATTCTGATTAGAAAAAAAAAAAAAGGTTCCTCCTATTTCTAACTATATTGTAAGGAAACAGCACAATAACCTGAGAGGGAAATGTTCAGCACCCCGGCGACCCTTCTTGTTTATTCTGTTTTCTCTTGCTGAAGTTACATTTTGAATTGCAATCTAAAACACATAGCACTACAACGATATAACTCAAACTAAATAACAACTATGCCAAACATACATCAATGACCTAAGATAAGATTAAGCAGAAACACATAATAGCTACCTCATAAAGTTGCTCCCTAATTGCAAAGGCAATTGCAGGCTGCAAAGAATAAAGTAATTCTATTCATATGATATGTTTTGAAGGAACATAAACAGAATATGAAACAGGATTGAAAGAAAAATACTGTGTGGTAACCGTTTCTCATCCTGTTTGGTTAGATGAATATTTTACTGATAAGCTTCTAAAATGAATTACTTACCCCAACTTCAGGGTCTTCAATACCTAAATCTTTGCAGAGAGTTCTAGAAAATTCCTCTGGGTCACTTTCAAAGTTATTCAAGTCCTACAACAAATTATAACTGCATTCAAGCATCTGATAGAAAAATAATTGCCTAGCACATAAAAGATAAATGATGAAAAAAAGACGAGTAAACGCAGAAAGAATTTGCAATGATATGATACAAAACCACTCTTATATTCTTACCCATAAAAATTGATCCCTGATAACTGTATGATTGACTCGAAGATCAAGCTGATGAAGTCCATGTGATGGGTAAGTAGGTGTCAGAAATTCATCAAAGGAAAATGACATATATATACATACAGACATATATATATGTATATATTTATGTTGTTTGGTAGTTTATTTAAGAAAGACACCTTAATTGGAACAATCTTGTCACCAGCATACATATCTTGGCCTTCATATGATCGAAAGTCGGCAAGCTGTGACTATTAAATGAAGTGAAGAGTGAAGAATAAGAGAATGTTTTGTCAATTTTTGTTGTTGAGAACTGAAGATTGAAAATGAGAGAAAGAAAAAGGTTATAGTTACCTGAATGGATTGAACAATTTGTGGAATGAAACCAGGAGCAAGCTTCAAGTCCTTTACAGTCCTCTTTGCAAACATCACCACCTCCGAATCTGGATCTTTAGACACACAAATGTTGAGTTAGCAAATTACATTAAAAAATTCCTACAAGTTTCTTGATTTCATGAGAAATGACATTTAAGGTCATGCATACCATAAGGGTTCCAAGTGAAAGAGTCTTTATAGCGCTGCCCATCCACTTCGATGTCCAGCCTGATGGGTACTAAATTTTCAGCTGTCGGCCTTCAATTTTTTGGTCAAAATTAGCAATCAAGCTTTTCATCCTAATAAATGAAGGTTCAGACCGTAAAAGCATCAGACTTAAACCTAGATAGAAGAAGAAGAGAAAGGAACTTACATCCTGAACTTGAGAGGGGCTTTCCAAGAGGCTGACGCTGGCGGTTTCATATTGGTCCAAGTAGTATTACCTTTCCCTCCCTAATTTTCATTTTTGACCAGAGGCTGAGCTGATTAATGACACTCCATAAACAGATAAATCTTGTGAAAGTTGATACTCTAGGCCAGATGCAGAACAAGCCTAATGTTTCACTAAACTTCAGTTATCCACCCCCCTAAGCCCCTATCCTACTCGTCCTCAGCCTCTTTTGGGGCCATTAAATCCAATTCACACAAGTTTTGAAGCACATGGGCATGGTATAGACCAACACCCAATACCTCAATTAATTCGATGGCCCAAAAGAAAATTAAACAGCCCAAAGCCCTAAATGCACTTTCAAGTTTCAACAATGTCCTCATGATCCACAACCACAATAAAAGGGCTTAATAACCAATTATATCCTCAAACTTTAGTAAAACAATGGAATTAAGCTCCTGATCATTTTATTGCATGTAAATAAGGCTATAAACTTTTGTTTTTCCATAATTATGATCATGAACTTTTAAAATCAATTAAAAAAGTCTAATTGGAACAACTTTTAAGTTATTTAATAACTTAAGTTATTCTATAAAAGTCTAATTAGAACAACAAAAAACTAAGTAAGACTTGTTGCATGTTTACCAACAGTGCTAGACAATAAATGTTAGTCTTCTGTTATTCCAATTGAACTTTTTTCATTGATTTTAAAAGTTTACAAGTTTATGGTTGTTATTATAGACAAATAAAAAAAATAGCTTTATTTACAAGCAATAAAAGGTTGGGGGCTTACTAAAGTTTGAAGGTATATTTGGGTATTAAGCCCCCCCCCAAAAGAAAACAAACAACCGTTGGAATTTGATTCAAACTTTCAAACGGTAAAACTGAATTTCACCTCCAAATTCAAACATACTCAATACAAAAATCTGTTTCCCAGATCGACCATTAAGGATCACACTCACTCATAAAAGAACAGTTTAATAAATAGTCTTATGTAACTACATATGAAATACAGTAGTTTCATGTATAAAATTTCAAATATACTATACTACTAATAAATTAACACTGAACAAAAGATGAAATTAATTGAAAGTACAGACTGCACATCAATCACCCAAATTGAAACGGAAAGCCATCCATCCAGGAGCAAGACAAGTAAAGCTATTTGTTGCCAGCAGAAAACAACAAAACAAAAGCTCATCGAGTTGCCCACTTTAACAAATCATACTCCGTCATTACTTCTATGTACACCTGAAGGAATAGCAACGGGAAAGGCACCCACTATTTTTTTAGTTACCCTTACCCAAACTTGACAATTTATCAAAATACCTAAGTACTATTTATTTTTTTATTCCCGTATCCAACCCCAATAATATAAGCAATATGCGTCAAATACCCGGATACAACAATTGAAATGGATGAAACATCAAACACCTAGTAGACACAAGGCAACTAATGAACTCAAACCCCATGGAAAACCAAAGCTACCCGAGTACAACAGTTATACATGTCAATAGGTGTAACACCAAAAACACAGAAAACATGATAAAAAGAAGCAGCAAGGAAAAGCCATTGCCAATTAAACTTCTTAGATTACAAATATCTACTGCACCCAGACTTGACAAAGAAATTGAAAAGTAAAGAAGTAAGGCATGATAGACATATTAATGTCGAAACAAAGTTATTGCTTTCATCTCCAATTAATTCATGAGGTAGATACATTAAATCCATGTAAACGAAAAGTTTCAAGAAATTTCAAAGAAGTAGCCGAGACTAACCTTGAATGAAAAGTGGCCTTTGTTGGGTTTCAAGCTTCGGAGATTTCAAAGCCAATCCTTGTCAAACTTCCTAGATTTCAGACCCGATAATTCTATAGATAACTAATTAGTTCTGATATTAAATTAAAAAATATAGAAAAACTAAATCAAACTCCAAAGAAAGGTTTCTCAGAGTCAAAATCTAAAATATAAAAGAAAATTTATCAAATTTGAAAGAATGATGAAGAGTGGGAGCACAGATGACAACAATTCGCAAGACGGAGGAGAAGAAAGAGTCGGTGAAGAACTGAGGAAGGCAGAACAGCAGAAGGTGTGGCTGGGCTGGGTGCAATCGCAGGGTCCGGCGCGGGGTGTTGGAGTGTGTTGGGAGATTTCACGTTTTAAAGGATTTTTAACGGAAGATATATATCTATTAGGTAATAATACTGAACCGGCAATTCTGCGGGTGGGTCGGGTTTGGGTTTCATTATAGTTTGGGTCAATTTGATCGAAGGAAAATTTAGATCGTGTCGGATTTAGATTATGTTGGGTTCGGAGCTTTAGTTTGGTTAAAAATAAAAGGTCATTTTTTATTGGAATTATTTTGAGTTTAGATAATTTTAATTTTGAAATATTTTAAATTAGATTATAATTTGTGAAATAATTTTATTTATTTAATATAAATATATATATTAGTTTTTTTTTCAAAATTATATTCAAATATTCAAAACTCATAATATATATAAAATTTTTATATATTAATTTGTCATTAAAAAATAAATTTTATGAAAATAGCAAGAAAAAAATTATGTTTTTCTTTTGGATATTTGTATTTACAATAATATTTGTACACTTGTAAGATTATATCAAATAAAAATAAATTATGTCTTTCTTCAAAAAATAAAAATATATATTACTAAATGATAACTTAAATAATAAAAGAAGTATTCACGTACTTTCACTTTAGTAATTTTGATTAAATTATTATGTAAAATATGAAAAATATCAAAAAATATGTGAAAGAGAAAAAAATAAATTAAAAAATATTATTTTTAATAAAAATGAAACTATAATAATAATAAAATATATATTGGAAAAAGGTTATAAACAAAAAAAATTGCAATAGTAATAAAACATACATTGGAAAAAAAGTATTAAAATTTTTTTTAAAATGATATAACACATTACATTTGTAGTTTAAGAATTTTTTAGTGGTAATTAGGATAAAACAATTAATTTTTAAATTAATTTTTAAAATTTAAAATAGATATAATAAGTGATAAAGATAATATTAAATTTTTTACATTTATTTCAAATATAAATTTGATAATTAGAGTTCAAATGGATATAATCATTTTGATGATCTTATTATTTAAAAATATAAGATGAAAAGTTTTTGAATTTTTGAAATCTTATATAAAGTTGCTTCAATTTTTAATGTGTTACATAAATTTTTTTAAAAATAATTTTTAAATCAAGATAAAAAATATTGTTAAAAGATTTGGATAAATTTAATCTTTGTAATTTTTAAATATGTTTGAAATATTTTGATAATTAAATAATTTTTAAATAAGATTATTTGGTATACAACTAAAATTATTTATTAAAAAAATAAAATCCATATTTTATATTTTTAATTTTAAAATATATATTTCTAAATTGATTTTATTTTTAATTATAATTTGAATAATTTTGATATTTGAATAAATTTAAAATTATCTAATTTGTAATTAAAAGAAACTATCTTATTCTTTTAAAAAACTATCATATGTGTCATTTAAAAGAATTGTTTACATAAGCGTTCATGTAACAAACTTATTTATATATGTTATTATAACATATATATATATATATTTTAGATATGAATTTTTCAAGTTTGACAATTAAGTTATTTTAGTTAGAGGTTTTTTTTTTAGATTGTTCCATTGAATTTTAAATTTTTAGATTGATCCATTAAATTTTAAAATAAAATCAATTTAATTTTAAATCATTTTAGATTAGTTTTTCAAATCAATACTACTATAAATAAAAAGGATCCCTTAAGGATCTTGTAGTTGACATCTATATTTTCTTTTTTCTTTTTTAATAATTTTATATTGGATGAAAGCTTGATAAGTGCATTGATATTCTAATTTTTTTTTTTTAGGCTTTATTTGTTATGGGGTTGTTTTAGGCTAAGGCTTTAATAGGTGTTGGATTTTTTAAGTGCTGAGTATTAATAAGTTTTTAGATCATGTGACATTACATGGAAAATGTGGCATTGCATAGAGATAAGAATTGACATGTGTTATGTATTTGTCAAAAAAATAAATATAGGAAAGGAGTAAAAGGTTTATGTGAAAAACAAAAGGGTTAGGTTGTTTCAAAAAAAAAAAGTGAGAGATGGAGTGAAACTAGAAAGGAAAGAAAATGGAAAGAAAATGAGTCGAGAGATCCAAATGAAAAATTAGAAAAATGATTTTTTTTAAATCTTTACTTTCATTTTCTATTCTCTTCCATGCTTTTTCACCTAATGCTCTTATTATTATTATTTTTTGTTTTAACCATATTGGTTAGTTTATGCTAAAAAAATAGAATAAGGGAATAAAGAAGAGTACCAAAGTCTATATGGATAAACACATTACAAGCTCTATTAGCATCAACGACTTGGTTAGTAGCTTAATCACTTTGTTTTTTCTATCCCTTATAAATTTTTAGCAATTATCAAAAGAAAAAAAAAGGGCTACATATCAAGTTAGATATAAAAGAGGAAAGAATTATAAAAAAATTAAGTATGTGTTTGGTTTATGAAAATAAAATTGCTTTTCATTTTCATTTTCATAGAAAATAAAAAATGAATTAGAAAACTTATTTGATTAAATAAACAAAAAATATATTTTAAAAAATGAAAATAGGTCAAAATTAGAAAACAAAATAAAAAGTTGTTTTAATTATTTTCAATGAAAATAATTTAGAGGAAATGGAAAAGTTGAAAACATAAGAATTTTAAATTTTTTATTTTATTTTGAGACAAATACCTAAGGAGCTCAGGTTTGAATCATTAGGTCTCCAAAATAATACCTCTACAGCCATAAAACCCAAAGACAACTTGCCTGCAAAAGACTCTGTTATAGACTTCCCTTTTCTTTTTCTAAAAAGATTTTCATTTTTTCTTTCTCTCTCTAAAACAAACAAAGAAGTTTGAATTCTATTTTCAGGTACTTCTCTTCCCATAAACCATGATCTTTTTTTTACATTATGTTATCCATTATTTAGATTTATATAAAATTTATCGTTATCCTACATCTAATAAGCAATAGAAAAAAAATGGACAATGGAGAAGGAAAAGGCTTACTATTGGACTGTGCCCACCAATTTCTGTGGAAATTTCTTAGTATAGATTTCTAATCTTGGTTTTATTTTATGCCTTCTTTAGCAAATTGGCAAAATGAATAGAATATTGAACATCTTTTAATAGTAACTGAAAGTATAATACTTATAACCAATGACACATTAAGATTTTGCCTAAGTAGATCCTAGGTTCTTGTTTGATCTCTTTATATGTTATTTCTTTAATTTTTCAATTGTTTTTCTATAGCTTTATGCTGGTTTTGCTTCCCTTTGGATGTATTATAGTAATGTCATTAGCCATATTTAAGGGTTAGTAATTTAAATGTATTTGTAAGTCATACTGGTTGTTTAGAAATTTGTTATATATGATTTAATGACCTCTAATCAATACTATTTCTTATAAAGAGAAAGGAGAAATGATTAGATCATATTTAAGAGCTAGTATTTGGATCACCTGATATTAGATTCATATATTGAGGTTTAGACTCATCATAGCTTGTTTTTTTCGAACTATTTTCATTGTAATTGTTTTTAAGATGAATAGTTAAAAAAATTAGTATTTATTTTTTTTTAATTGAGAATATATGAAAAGCAACCAATCACTTTGTGATAAAGTGTAACTAGCAAAGTGAACAAGGTTGGGTTGGTTTCCTTAATGCCTCACCACTAATATGGCCTAAAGTCTCTATTAGCTTACTACTTTTCACCACGAAAGCATTTTTAAAAAGTAGTATTTTTTTGTGGGTTCCTTTTTATTGTTTATATAAAAGTTGAGTTTGTCTAAAAAGCTAGGTGATTTAATAAATTAGAAAGTCCTTATTGTTCTTTTTTTTTTCCTAAAAATGAGCACACTCTCAAGATGGAATTATTTATATCAATTGGTTGGGTGTTGATCCTTTCAATCGTCTTTTAAATGATGTTTCTTTAGAAATCATTGTTGAATAGCACCCAACATAAATGATCTAGGTCCTAACAACCCATGCTTTTCTACTAGCGGCTTCACCTAAGTTAGCACATTGTGCTAATATTCCATTAACCAAATTAATGCACTTGGCTTGATGAGCCTCAAGAATCTGGATTGTCTGGTCATTAATATGGGCTCCATTACCAATAATTTCAAAGTTGACCATTGACCACTCATCCAATGTTATAGAAAGGCACATTAATCTATTAACATAATCAACATTATCATTAACCTACAACTCCACAAAAAAATTAGAGGTTAGATTCAAAAAATTCCTAACCTGCATCCCCTCTAATGTTCATGAACTTGCAAATCCAAAGACTCAAAAAATTACATTTGTGTGTGCTGAATGGGAAGGAACAGTTTATGACACGAGTTTTTGTTAATGCAATACTAAGTAATTCTAATGCACAAAATTTTTTTCCAATGCCAAGTGCTAGTACATTTTAATTAATATAATTATTTGAAGAACTATTTAATTGGTTAATGTTGTTTATGTAATTTTCATATTTCTTATGATATTGTAGATAAATATTACGTAATAGATGTCAAATACCCAAACATACCTAAATTTTTTGCCCTATTTCGTGAACAATGATATTTTGCACGACACTTTATAAGTAGGCACCAACAAAGGGGGAAGAAAGATTTATTTAATATAAGGTATTATTTTGTTTGTAATGTGATTGAACGAAGTATCAAAATACTAAAAAAAAGATTTGCCATATTGAGGGATATATCTAACTATCCATTAAAAAAAAAACGTCATATACCAAAAGCATGTTGTACTATACATAATTTCATTAGGTTGGAAACCAAAACGATGAATTGCTTGAAAAGGGTGAAAGAGAAACATGCAGAAATTTGATAACACAAAAGTTCAAACAATGAGCAAATTACATTTGATATGTCACAAATAACTGAAATGACTAAAGTTAGAAAAAAAATTGCTACATCTTTATGGAATAGTTATAAGCAAATTTGACATTTCAAAAACTATAACAATTAAAAGGCAATGTTGGTTATCCAATATTGAAGTACATTTTTTTATTAACATTATGAATTGATTTTTATTTGAATTTTTATGTTTATTTTAATTGTAATTGGCTTTTATTATTTAATTACATTTTTTAAAAGATACAATTTACTTTTATTAT